TTTGTCTTATTGGCTTTTTCCTTAATTTTTTTTAAAAAAAATTTCAAAATAGTTTGCATCTAATCCATAAGAGTGCGATTTTAGAGACAAAATCATTTACAAGCCTGGGTTTCTCCGAATGATTAACAATATTGAAACAACAGTTAATCATGCATTTTGACTAATGATGTATTTAAATGCTGGCAAGCTGGGAGCAAATGTTTTTTTAAGTCCTATATTCAAATAACACATTCATATGTAAAATGAGAATAGACTCAGATTTTTATTTTATTTTAAAAATAATTAGAAATGTTTGGTAAGAAAATATTTTTATTTTGCATGATGTTTTCTCAATAAAAATGCTGAGTAAGAAAAAAAAAAGTAGCAAAATTTGAATAATCCAAAGTAAAATCTAGGCTGTCCATATGGAATATGCACTTTCTTCGTCTCTAGAGATTAAAAAGAAATCCAAGTTACAAAGAGAATCAGTATCACCAACGAGAGAGTAATTTAAGCTTAAGTATTGTTTTTTTTTAATGGGTACAAACTTGAATGGGCTGTTCTATTTGGGCCGTCCCCTCCCTCAAGCTTAGCCCAATTTCAATTTTGCACTATGTCATTATCCACCATTCTATTGTAAGTTTTACAAGGCTTAAAACTGAGGCGAGAGGACCAACCGCAAGAGAGTTGGAAGGACGCTACATACTCCTCCGGTCCTAATTATAAGACCCAATTGACTTATTTGAGGAGATTAAGGAAGTAAGTTAAATTGGTTATTTATAATAAATAAGTGTTGTCATTCCTAAAATCTTTGCTAATTAAGTATATTAGCTAAAACTATCATTATTAGAAGGATTATCTTGGAAATACATAAATATAAGAGACAAAATGGATTGGGTTATAATTAGGACCAAATAAAAATCAAATTGGTCTTATAATAAGGACCGGAGGAGTATTGATATGAGACTTCTCCCATCAAACTCTAATCCACTTTTGCTTAGGCTTCATTTAGGATCACAAAGTACGTTTTAAGTAAGCTGAGATAAAAATTTTCTTACATATTTACCTCATATTCTGCAGATCACAATTGAAAATATGATTATAAACTATTTCAAACAGGATCTTAAACATCTTAACTATTCCTCTTAAATGTGATTTCATTTAGTTTGGCACATTGAAAATGCCACAAACACTAAGTCCTTGTTCCACCAACATTAGGGGGAATCATAGAGGTAATTAAATACTGAATATTATAAACATAGGACCTTATTAAAAACAAAATAATTATTAAAAAGGGTTTCTTCATAGCTAGAGATAGAAGGGGAACTAAGAAAGAGAGACACATTTCAAACAAAATGATAACATGAGATGAAACCAAGCAACTTTCCTCATGAAGAGAATCATTCTTGCCTCCCTATACGTTACATAGATGAAACATGAAAATATGTTCTTTAATGGAATAAAAGAGTTTACCACAATCGGTCGAATATTGAGTGTTCTAAATAGTGTAATATGTTATGAACTTTATATTTTATATTAATATTAATATTGATATTGCTATTTTATTTTAGTTATATACTTTTTGAGGATCAATTGATTATGTATAGAATAATTTGCCCTCCTTTTTTCTTTTAATTTGGGCCAATAAATTAATGCCTTATATTTGAAATAAGAATATATTCTCTCCATTCTTTTTTATAAGACATAATTTTAAGTATGATTTGTTCCTATTTATAAAAGGTACTTGGACATTGTCTCCAATTTTTTTGGTTAATTTCCCATTTTGCCCTCATTGAATTACTTATAATATTATCAGTAAAGGGATATTTAGATGGTAAATTTTCTCTCTTATGCTCTATTGGTCTCTCTATATAATTTTAACATTAATTATCGCTTATAAAAAATTATAAAGAAACTGAGGGAATAATTAAAAAATTGGAGAGAGAACTTGGTCTAAAAGATAACATATATCAACTAATGTAATAGCATCAGCAAGATTAAAGGTGTTTATAGGCCTACTTGGCCTAATAAGTTTGGTTTGATTAGATTACCTTGATTTAAGTTGAGAACTCCGCCTAAATAGAATGGCCCAATCATATCAGGATAATATTATAAATTCCATTTTAAAAGTTGGTTTAACCAACTTTTAAATTGAGCTGAAAATTTTAACCAAGAGAATTCCAATTTAAAAATTACGGGAGTGTTTGGGTGAAAACAAAATCATGATTTTAAAAGTGTTTTTATGATATATAAAATAAATTTGTGAAGAAATTTACTCGATTTACGAAAAAGTATTTTTTTTTAAAAATACTTTTTGGACAATCTAACACCCTCCAAGTCAAGGTAATGTTCTACTTGAGTCACAAATGCTTATAGATAAAAATTGGTTTAATTAGTAAAAAAAAAAACCTATAGATCATGAGTTTAAATTCCAAGATCAATAAAAGAATATTATCAATTTTCATGATTCAACTAAAATATTTTTTAACAAAATTAAAATAAATAAAGTGGGTAGATATCGGTATCAGAGTTTTTAATGAAAGTGTGACTTACCAATCTCTCAGTTCATGTGCTTTCAATGGCCATTTGCTTACAATTCATGGACTTTTGGTGCCCACCACCTCATTATAGGAAGCTTCCTACTTCAATTATGCATTTATGCTTTACCCAAATTTTCGTTCTTCTTTTGTTTGGGGCATGTTGACAATGATAAAAGAGAGGCAGTACATTTTAATACTTTCATATAAAATTCAAAATTAAATAAAACTTATAAAGAATATATTGGTAATAAAGATTGAACTCACAGGTTCAACCCATAACATGCCCAAAAGTAGCAGGCTTTAGCCAACTTACCATGTGTGTGACCTACACCGCCCAATTAACAGATTAACCCGTTTTACTAGTTCTAAATTCTTAGTTACTATTATAAGACACCTCCAACCATTTTTCTAGAAACAAAAAGAGGTTATTAAATAAGGATAATCCTAAACAAATATAATTAATACTACCTCCGATCATTGATATAACCCTATGTTTGGTATGAGAAAAATAGAGAGGTGAGGATGGGAGAGAAAATTTTAATAAGCTCGATTTAAAAAGATTAGAAAAGTGGGGTTTTAAAATTTTAATAAAAAGAAGATGTAATATAAAAGAGTAATAAAAATTAATGAAAAGCTTTTAACAATATTTCTCTAATTTTTTAAATCAAACTCATTAAAATTTTTCCTTCCTTCCCTTTCATTTCTCTCATACTAAACAGAACACAAGAGTTAATTAAGGTATTGTGTTTGGTTCTTAATATACTTTGTCTCTCATCTTTTCTTAAAATATCTCTATTAATTGTAAGGAATCTCCGTCAAAGGATGATTCAATTTATCAAATGTACATGATTAAGGAAGACAATTACAAAAGAACAACATACACTGTGACAAATAATTAAATTAATTTTTTTAATATAATTAGCTAATAAGAACCGCTTATCCCTTCTAAAAAGGTGACATATAATAAGAAGCCGAGAGATGACAAGTTAACTTTGCAATTTTTTTTAAAAAGTTTGGAATCTATTTGTCTTTTCCCCTTTTTTAACGATACCACCTGTTTTATGTAATTGTTTTACCCGACTTTTTTTAGGTGTTTTTTTTTTTGGCCTGAGATTTTTTTAGGTATTGAAAACACAAGAACCATACCAAACGAATCATTTATTTTACGAGGACAAATCCCTCCCTCCCACACCTCCGACTGATTGAACCAAACCACATGCTTCGTTGTCAATCCGTGAAAACCCAGGGAAAGCAACCCTTCATTATTTATGTATTTTCCATAATTTTTTATTTGTTGAAAATTAGAATACATGGAAATAAAAAATAAATCATTTAATTATTGGAAAGCGAACTTTAAGAATGTAAATCCCAGCACCCTCTTCAGCCACAAAAATCATCTGCACAGGCAACCTCATCTTGTTCTTCTGTCTCTGTTTTGTCCATTCTCACCCAACAAAATGCCTCTGTTTTTCCCATCACAGGTAGTATCTTCTGTCCTTAATATAAGAACTAATTGACTAATTCGAATATATTAAGAAAGTTTGTTAAGTTAGTTATTTGTAATAATTAAGTATTATCTTTCTCAAAATATCCTTGCTAATCATGTATTAGTTAAAACTATCATTTGATTGAACTTTTAACACGTACAACTATTACAAGGGCTACTTTGAAAAAATAGATAAATATGATAGATAAAATGGATTGGAGTCTTATATTTAGGACCAACTTAAAAGTCAAATTAGCTCTTATATTAAGGATTGAAGGTAGTATTTTTCAACATAGTACTCTACATGCTTCATGCAATTAGCTACTTCAATTTTCATTAACTCACATTAATTTGCATATGGTAAACTAATTTCAAATAATTTAGGGCATTTGTTCTCTCAGTGTGTGTGAGATTTCTCAATTCCTAAACAGACGGGAAGAAAAGACTTCCCCTCAAGAGCGTCAAGCACAAAACTAGCGCTATTCAACAAGATATCATTAGTTTAGTAGCTCTCTTTTATCAAGTTATGAGGCATAATCACTTATAAATATTTTGCTATTTTACACTCTTATTTATCTTCTAATGCTGTGCCTTTGAAGCGGTAAACTTTTTATTATTAATATCATTTTTCCTTCATCTAAAAAAAAAATATACAAACTTTACATTTTTAAAGATGTCAAGCATACACTCTTGCTATTTTTTTTTTGCTTTGAGGAAGATTGCTGAAGAAACTTCCATTGCAAAATTTATTACTCAGCCATCTAAAGACCTGGATCTTTGAGTGGGTGTAATTCTTTTTTCAATTGTATGTAACACATATTCAATTAGGACAATACTTATATCAAGTTTTTTATATTCATTACGTTAAGTTTTTAATAACACATGATCATATGTCCTACTTTTGAAATATTAACATTTGATAGTATTTAATTATAAATTGACACAAAACAAAAAGAATATGGCCATGCACAATTGAAGAACTTACATAATGAATATAAGTAACTTCGCATAAGTTTTTTTCATTGAGTTATGTGCAGATGTCTTTAAGATTACATATATTAACAGATTTCAAATATTTTTCAGCGGTAACTTTTACAATGATGAATTTTTCATTAATTTTCCCTGTTTTCAAGGAAACAAAGAAAATAATTTCTGAGGGGGGAAATTGTAATTATTTCTAACACCTCAGTTGCAGTTGCAGGAGAACTTTGGCATAAAGTAGAGAATCAATCATTCAATATGCCTTTTCTAAAGAAGGTTCTTCAAAAAAGCCATTGAGGTAATGAGGTCAGGTGAGGACCAACCAACAGGAACACCTTGCCTGCCAAAGACACCATGAGAGCACCTTCCTCACATAAAGTCCACTTGTGGGGATGCCCCAATGATTGATTACTAATTTATCCTCCCTTGAGGACAGCACAACAGTACATCTACATGCCCCAGTACTCTCATGCTCTGGATTTTCTTAGAATTCCTCTCTCTCACATTTTTCTTTCAGAATTTCATTTCTAATTGAATTAAGAAATAGACAGCTCAGATTTAATATTTTAAATTCTCTCCTATTTATGTAATATTATAATAACTATTTTATAAAATCGAAACCATTTATTTTTTAATTCAATAATAAAGATAAAAACGAGATCTAAAGAAAAAAATAACAGAGAAATTCTGGGAGAATCTCTTTCCTACTTTCTTGTCCCAAAGTTTAATCACATCTTAAACCTTTCATAATTAGTATCATTAATCTCAAAAAAAGTCATCAAGCAATAACCATACCTTACTTTTACCTCTTCTATATTCCAATCTTGGTCTGTCATGGGCTAAGGTGCTCTTCGGCTAGTTGGCTGCATGCCTTACTTTTATTGCATCAGCCTCTCCATCTTTCCACGATCCACCTCCGTCTTCTTCTTCTGTATAGAGGACAGGCATTTCATTCTATGGTAAAACACAATTCCATTCAGGTTCAATAGTACAGAAGGAAATGACAAGTAAAGAAGAAACCATGAAAAATTTCATCAGTTAGTACAGAAATTATTCGCTTCTAACTGGGCAGAATTTATTCAGGGAGTTCGATTCTTCCCAGGGCCTAGAGTTAGATTACAGAAGGAGGATGAATTTTAACGACGAAAAATTAAACTTCAACCTAGATCTACCAGCCTAGTTATATATATACAGAAATATATGCAGATATCTAGCAGTTTAATGAACTGATAATTTCCCACAATACGTCGTCATTGCGCCACCATTATCATTCTCTTCCTCTTCTTCCTCACCATTAACATTCCCCACACTCTGCTCAGAGAATACTTCGTTCTTTCCGATTTGGCCTCTGCAAGCTCGCCACACGCCATTAGTCTCTAAACATTGAACCCTCCTTCTCAGTTCGTCCAATTCTCTCTCCATCAGAAAGAGCTTCTCTTTCAGTGTCATATTTTCTTCTTCCAATCGTGTAATATGGGAGTCCTGTTCATCCACTCGATTCTCCAAGACACTGGTCTGATCATCGGTTCCGACGTTTGGGTATATCATTTCGAATCTACTCAGATCATGGTCTAATCTCTTCTCAACTTCGACTCGTTCTTCTACATCACTGTCACTAGACCCGCCACCGCCACCGCCACCATTATCGTCGTCGTCGTCGTCTTCTTCTTCTTCCTCCTCTTCCTCGTCGCCTCTGGGTGAGCCAGATCGAAGCCTTATCAGACCCTTCATCGAGCCATAGCCATCAACCCCCCACTCTTCCTTCGCCATGTCGATCCAAAACTCACTCAACGGCGACAAGATTGGCGTTGGTAGGACCGCCGGTGTTACTGGACACGGCGTAGCGTTACCTCGCGATCTTTTGGAGTGCATTAGGAACGATGTAGTATTACGCGGAGCGAACGGGGCATATCTGGATTCGAACTTGTTCTTCCGGTGAAACCGACGACTTTTCAATCGGTTCTGAGCTTGCGAATCAATCTGACCCGGCTGTTTGTACCCGGGACCTTGAAGCGGGTCATTACGCCCAAACTCATTGCGCTTATCCGGTTTAAAATCCTTTCCCATCCAAGCAACCCGACCGGGAGGCGTAGGGTTAGCCGGGGTGGGAGCGTTAAAGATTTGCCGGTGAGAATGAGCGCCGTGAAACATGACGGCGGCGTTGTCCGGCGGGAACGGAGGCGGACGGTGAGGCCAAAAGACGTTGTTTTGGTGAATCTGCAAGATCTGAGATTGGCCCATATTCAGCGACTGATCGTTCATGAAAACCCAGACCGGAGAAATGAAATTTGAGGTCCCAGAGAACGGTGAGAAGTACTGAAGCGATCTGTAATGGCACCGAAAAAGCAGACCGTTAAAAAATGTCGGAGGTAATAATATCGAAAACTTAAAAAAAAAAAACCCAGAAAACGAAGATTTATGATTTATAATAAAAAAAATAAAAAGAAACCTTGAATTTTGTTTTAGGATTTAGGATTGATCAGATGGAGATTGAAGAGGTGGCTGAGAAATTGGGAGTGAAAAGGGAATAATTTGGATTTACATCGTCGGCAACGTTGAGAAGATATATAGAAGAAGAGAGGAAGGTGGCAGAGAAGATCAACGGTGGGATTTGGGAGCTGATATAGTGGGCGGCTAAGATGAAACGAGCTCCGGCAGCAACAATGACAAGTATGTTTTTAGGAACGGTTACTAAAATACGGATGCGGAAAAAGACATTACAGCACCCTAAAAAATGATAAAAGTCAAAAAAATCCCTTATATTATTTTAGAATTTTAAAATGTTATAAAATGATAATATTACCCTTACTTATAGTATTATTTGAGTAAAATACACTCATCACCCTTCTGTTTTAGTTTAATTACATGGACCTCCCCTCTATTTTGATAACAAACATTTTAATCCAAACTATTAACACCATTAAAGAATATTCTAAAAAGATTCTTTACATACATTTTGTAATTAAAAAATATTAGAATAAACCTTGTTTCTTACTTTACTCCTAATTATATTAAATCTGTAGTTTATGTTTTAATATTAATATTTATTAATAATCTATTAAATATTTTACTAAGTTTAATAAATTAAGACATAACTTTATAATTTTATTGAAAATACATATATACAATTGCAAAATATTTTTCACTAATATATATTTAAAAAATTACATCACAAGTAAGTTTAAATAAATAAACAAGATTTATTGTAAAATAAAAAATTTGTATTTATAAAATTAATAAAATTTATAATATGGTAATCAATTCAATAATACTCCTCCGGTCCTTAATATAGGACCCAATTCTTGAGTTGGTTTTGGTCCTAAATATAAGACCCATTTCTCATATTTATCAGTTTTCTCTAAATTACCCCCTATAGATATTCTCTCAACCATAATCAAGTAGAAGAGAGATGGGGTATTAAGAAAGATGATTATGGTGTTTTGGAAAAAATATGTCACTTTTTTTATAATTAACTAACTTACCTACTTCCTTAATCTAATCAAATTAGTTAAATGGGTCTTATATTAAGGACCAGAGGAGTATAACAAAAAATATTAAAATATTTATTAAATTTATTTTTTAATTTCAAATAAAGATGTATGATATGTCATTAAATGATAATTGTTAAGTAATATTTATATGAAGAGGCAATTTGGTCAAAATAATGAGTCAATCCTATGATTTAATGGTCAACTAACGAATGGATTGATGGGAGTTGAATTTCAAAACTAGAAAGGAGGTTTGTACAATATATATTTTGATTTTGAGGGAAATCCATATAAGTTTCTAAAATAAAAAGAAGGCCTTTGTAATTTAGGTTAAAGAGAGAGGATGTTGATGTATTTTACTCTAATGATTTTTATCTAGTTATTGACTACTCAAGTTTTATTATTGACTACTTTGTGTAACTATTAACTACATATAAATAGTAAATAGTAAATAACCAAACAAAAAATAGTTACTAAATCTCCAACAACACTGATTGTATTTTTTTAAAAATAAAAATAGTTAATAGTAAAATTAAAGTGGTTAATAGCTAAACAAAAATATTTAACAAAATTTTTAAAAATAAAAGTAGTTAATCACAATATTAAAATACTTTGTAGCTAAACAAAAATAATCATCAAAATTCTAAAAACAAATGTAATCAATAATTAAAAAAATAGTCAATAATAAGAAAGAACAGTTACTAGAGTTTTGGTTACTGGTCATTGGAGTTCCCATACAATACTGCTGGCAAGGTCACCGGCTCAGAGCTTTAGCGACCAAAAGCCTACTAAGGGTGCTAGGGTGGTAATATTTAAGAAAAAAAGAAAAAAAAATAGTGAGAGGCAATTGTGTAATTTTACAAGGTTTAAAAATTTCAAAGTAATATATGAGTTCTGAATTAGGAATTTGAAATTCATCCATATTGATTTATTTTTTTTAACAGGGCATTTTATTGTTTTTTTCCATAGGAATTTAATATTATAATGCAAAATTTTAATATGGGATTGAAAGTTTTATTTTGAATTGAATAAAATGAAATGATGTGGTGGGCCGAAAGGATTAAAGTAACTCTAAAATGAAATGATGATGATTGATGATTGATGATTATGGAATGAAATAAAATAAGATAAAATTAAGTATATTAAAATTATAACAAAATTATTCATTTAGCTTATAGTATTAGTTTTTATTTTGTTATGGTTCAATTTACGAAGTTTAATTCAGTGCAATTTCAAAAACATTATAAGAGGCATGATTAAAAAATATATTTTAAAGAAAATAATTCAAATTTATTATAAATAATTAATTTAACTAATTTTTTTAATATTACAAATCAATTATCTAATGTTTATATTAAGGACTAAAATAAGTAATTTTTTTAGAATTAAATATGTCTTGTGCGAAATTTTATAATGGCAAGAGAAATTTTTTTCTATTTAATTAAATAAAATGAAATTAAAAATAAACTAAAATATCCTCAACTAATTTTCCCCCGCTTCTCTTCCTTAATGTCATCTTCGTTTTCATCAATGTAATTCCATAATTATATAGAACCAATATTGAAATAAAAAATCACAAATGCCAGCATCTCAAATTGAAATCAAATTCATAGATGCAAATGCAAGTTAGTCACATGAACACGAGATTATTCTGGATGATAAAGATGAGATGCAATGTATGTAAATATTAAAGACTTAAATTATCTTGATATAATATAAAAAATAAAGATGCAAGCTTGAATGGATTTTCTAGTTCTTCTTACCTAAATTTGCTGATGAATTTGGATTCTTTTTAATAAATGGCCATTCATAAATTGTACATAATATGTTTATTTCCTTTGCAATTTCATGCAATACATAAAACTTATATAAAAGAAATTACTCCCTTGACCATAAATATAAAACTGACTTACGTGATTTGTGATTTATGAAGATTAATAAAATTGGTTAAGTTGATTATTTATCATTACTATGTAAAATATGAGATATTTTTCTTAAGAAAATTAAATAAGAGAGACAGAGAGTGAGGAAAATTGTAAAATTAATTAGAGTGGTTTGAGAAAAAAATTGAGTGAGTGAAATGAAGATGACAGAGTCCTATAAAAATCAATGCAAATCCTTCAGCTAGGTGTTATTACCCTCGGTCTTAATTATAAAACCTCGTTTATAAACTATAAATAGAGTCTTATAATTAGAATCAGAAGTAGTATTAGAATTGGAATGGTGAACATCAGCTGTATGAGTATTGATAAATTATAAACAATAAAACGCAGATGGAGCTTCATGCAAATGTCAATAGATATCAAATGGGGAGAGAAAAAACCCAAACTCACTTTTAATGGATGGGAATGATTCCATGAATCAAATGCTGATGCCAATCAAATTTGGTCAACCAAACAAAATAGTTTATAATATATACAGATGGATGGTTACTGAGTTTTAATGGTTGATATGCAGTTTAAGGTATCTGATCTTAAATATAAGAGTTAATTTACTAATTTATATAGATTAAAAAAATTAAATAAGTTCTTTATTCATAGAAAATATGTGGGTTTCTTCTAATCTACTCTCATTTAAATAATTTATATTGAAGCATTATAACATAGTTTATATAATCACAAGAATTTAACTATAAGATAGTTTGGAGAAAATAATTTAAAAAAAAAGAGATGAAGAAGATTAAGATCTTATTTTTAGGACTAATATAAACTTCCACACTAACTCTTGCATTTAGGGAAGGAGCATTGAGTATTTATTTAACAATTTTTCCATATTTATTATCCTATAATGTTAGGATAAGGGAAAAAAAATATAGTCTGTTTGGTTTCATTTATTTTATCCTAAGTATAAAATTTCAATCTATTTTGTTTATCATATTTATATATTTTTTTAAAAGTAATTCTTGTAATAGTTGCATATATTAAAAGTTCTATCAAATATTAGTTAAGAGTATCTTAAAAAAGACAATATCTATTTATTAGAAACAACTAACTTAACAAATTTTTTTAATCTACTAAAATTAGTCAACTAGTTTTTATATTAAAGATCATAAGTAGTAGTAATTTTTTTAATAATGCTCAGATAAAATAACCTGGTCCTCTATTTGGGGAAAAAAAATCAACAAACATAAAATTAGTAATAATTTTTGACTGATGGTCAGATAAAATAACCTGTTCCTCTAATTTTTTTTTTTTTGGGGGGGGGGCGCACGAAACGAAAACATAAAATTCTCAAAACTATTACTATCAGAAATATACAGAGTCTTGTCAAGTCACCAGGTCACTGAATTTTACTGAAAGGCCTTCTACAAATATCACTATAGAGAAGCCAGCAGAGATTAAAGACTGCAGCCCTGCTTTGCTGTACCAAAGTTCCACTTGAATAATTACACCATGCTTAAACTTACGTGGTGCTTAACACGGTCTAACTAAACATTGCATCCCTATTCTTCTCTAACAAGCTCAACAGGACTCCATTACACATTTCTTACGCTATATATATACACAACTAAAACCTGCAGAAATAAACTCACATTTACATTGGCTTGTGCGTCTCTATATATATATATATAGTTGTATTCACTCTTTGTGGTTAGAGGAGCGATCCTTTCTGGGTCCACCAAGAATACGAGAAATCTGTAAACCTCTACTGAATGCCTGGTTGAAGAGCATCCTTGTTTGGAACTCTGAAACAAAAGGAAACCATGCAAGGAAAGCCACCGGCGTAAACAGAAGCAGCCCCATTATTATCTCGTACCCGCGAGCAAGTTCCCTAACCGATCCCCAGATCTGAGTCTTTACAATCAGAGGCTTCAAGGCTTGTGCAATCTTTTGGAACAACAAAGCAAACAACATTAGGAGCTATAATTCAAGTCAAAACGTAAGTCTGAGGTAAAAAAAAAAAAAAAGCAGCACGGAATGCTCGAGATATTTAGGTGGGTTGGTTTTTCCACTACAACAACTAGTTTTTGGAGCAGGGTTTCCTATCCTACTTAGATACCCATCAGTCTCTTCATTAAGTCTATCAAATTCCACATGTTGGACAACTTGATGAAAGATTCAACTAAT